TGTAGGTCTTTCGACGTGTTCTCTGAATTCGCGTAACGCGGAGGGTACAGATGGATTCGATGCGCAACCCATACTTCTGCCCCAATCCGCCGTGTCCCGCGCAGCCTACCTTGCTCGCGCCACGATGCTTTTCCGGAAGAACCTCAAGCTCGGGCTCCTCGAACCCGAGGCCACGAAGGACGGGCCGTTGTGCATGGATACCTACCGTTGGATGTTCGATTGCTGCCGCGTGCCCGGTCCTGAAGGGCTCGACTGGAGTGTCACCTACGCCAACGCAGCCGATACGGGCGACGAGTCCGCCCACATCGTCGTGTTCCGCAACAATCGCGTGTGGAAAGTGCAGACCGCAGTGGACGGGCGCATCTTGAGCCTTGGCGAAATACAAGAGTACGCCCTCTTTCTCGCTTCATATCGTAGCTTACTGTGCCCCAGACAAATACAGCACATCTACGACAATTCCGAGGGCGAATATCCCGGTGTTGGCGTCCTCTCAGCTTCCAACCGGGATGTATGGGCCAAGGTGCGGCCGGCCGCCCCTCCCAGGGCCATCGCTGACCCGTTCGTAGGACTACACTGAGCTCTCGTCCTCCCCGCACAACGCCGCCATCCTGCAAGCCATCCAATCCGCCGCATTTACCATCAGCCTGGACTCCTCGTCCCCCATCGGCCCCGTGCACCACAGCCGTGCGCTGTGGCACGGCGACGTTGTCGACGGCGTAGCTGTCGGTCTGCAGAACCGCTGGGTCGACAAGCCCGTGCAGTACATCGTATTCGAAAACGGCGTTGCGGGACTCATGGGCGAGCACTCGGTCATGGACGGCACACCCACCGTGCGCCTCGCAGACGACGTCCTCAGTTCAATTGCGCGGCTCGACAAGGGCAAGCGCCCCAGCCCTACGCCGCTGGTGCCGACGCCGCTCGACTGGAAGCTCTCCCCGGCGACGACGCACGCCATCGCGGCCGCGAACACCGCTGCGTGCGAGCTGGCCGAGGGGCAGGAGCTCGGCTTCCTTCTCACCAAGTACGGCAAGGCCGCAATCAAGCGCTTCGGCGTCTCGCCCGACTCGTGGGCGCAGATGATCGTGCAGCTCGCGTACCGGCGCCTGCTCGGCGGCGCGCCGCGCACGGGGGCCACGTACGAGGCCGCATCGACGCGTCGGTTCTTCAAAGGGCGCACGGAGGCGATCCGCGTGGTGTCGCGCGAGTCAGACCGCTGGGCTGCATGCATGGATGCACCCGGTGTTTCAGATAAAGAGAAGAAGCAGATGTTTGATGAGGCGGTTCTGACGCACGGCACGCTCGCGCGCGCGGCTGGCATGGGCCAGGGAGTCGACCGTCATCTGTTTGGTGCGTCTTGTCTTCATTTGCTTGTTTTGCATTAGCTTAATTGTCTCGCAGGTTTGAAGAAGCTCGTCAAGGAGGGCGAGGAGATGCCCGCTCTCTTCACGGACCCCCTGTTCCTCCGCTCCAGCAACTGGGTCCTCAGCACGTCCGCCGTCTTTTCCAAGCATTTCCCCGTGTATGGGTGGGGCGAGGTGCGTTCTATTCTCGTCTCTCAGCTTCCCCGCTTACCTGCGTGAAGGTTGTCCCAGACGGCTTTGGTGTCGCATACATGACGGGCTTTGATGGTGTGTCCTGTGTCCCATCCCTTTGAAAAGAAAACCTTGGCTAATTGCGACCCTAGATCGCCTGCAATATACCATCACGTCGAGAAAGGAGAGCCCGAACGCGCAGTTCTGCGCGGAGATTGCGCGCGCGGCGGAGGATCTCTATGCGTTGCATGCAACGTTGAAGCCGGCCGCTGTGGAGAAGTCTAAATTGTAGTGTATCAGTCTTAAGCTTAAGGAACCAGTGTCCATATTTTAGCAATATTTGCGGGGCGTTTATTATTTTGGAGCTTTAATCGACTCTGCGCTAATCACTGTCAGTAACACGACCCACTACGTCCAGCGTCGCGAAATCCTCTTCCAGACTGGGATATCCGAGCCTCATCCCGGGCCATCTGTTTAGCTTACACTTGGTTGCTTGGCTCTCCATCTTCTGCTTTGAAGCTGTCCCGCCTTTCTCACCTGTTTTCATTGTTCAGGTGTTGACATGTTTCTGAAGAATCGGCCAGGCTGCAACCGTTCTCCCTCTATCCGGATTTTATTAGCGGTCACTGGACCGCGCTACTACTTACCAATATCATTGGTTCCCAAGATCTTGCTCTTCCATTGGAACGGACTTTCATCGGGTCATCGAGTACCCCGCGTCGCACCACTTCCCGCAATAGTACAAATATGGGAGGAGGCCCTTCTCCACAGCCAATGCCTACAACCACCCCCGGAATCGCAATCTTAGGTGCTGGAATCTTTGCCACGGAAGGTGTGCCAAATCCAAGGTGAACGTGCGGTGACGCTGAACGGCTTTCAGCGCATCTTCCGGCGCTCCTAGCGTTGGGCAGCGCCGCGCCGCCGCTGCATGCTGTGTACTCACGCTCAGAGAAGAGCTCACGCGAGTTCTCCGACGCGGCAGCCGCCCTGGGCCTCGCAGCCCCCGCGATCTACCACGATGGGGACGCAGCGACGGACCTCGACGCCCTGCTCGCGCGGGCCGACATCACCACCGTTATCGTGGTCCTCCCGATTACGCTGCAGCCGACGATCATCCTCAAGGCGTTTGCGGCGGGGAAGAACGTTCTGAGTGAGAAACCTGTAGCGCCCGACGTCGCGGGGGGCATCCACCTCATCAACACGTACAAGGAGAAGTACCGGAAGAATCTCGTCTGGCGGGTGGCCGAAAACTTCGAAGCAGAGCCGGGGTTCCGCGCGGCGGGCAAGGCGATTGCGGAGGGTAAGATCGGCAAAGTCAATTTCTTCAAGGCGGTCGTGATGAACTATATCGATGTGGACAACAAGTACTACAAGACCCCGTGGCGGACAGTTCCCGATGTACGTTCAACGGTCTCTCTATTTGCAGTCATTAATGGCGGCCCGGCATTCACAGTATCAGGGCGGATTTTTGGTGCGTCCAGCTTCAATGCGCGCCGCTATAAACTAAAATTACGCATTTTCAGCTCGACGGAGGTGTTGTATGTCTACATCTTCGAATAATGTTCCAAATTTGACGCTCTATTCAGCACACAGCCGCCGCCCTGCGGACTATGCTTCCCCAGCCGCTAACCCACCTCTCGAGCTTCGCCTCGCTCAACCACGAGTACCTGAAACCGCACGACACGATCCACGCCGTCGCCAAGGCCGGTGCCCACTTCCACGGCATCATAGAACTCTCGTTCGGCGCCCCCACCAAGACCACTCCAGTGGCGGACGCCTTCATCATCACGGGCTCCGAGGGCTGGATGTCCGTCAACTCTGCAAAGGGCGTGCTCCGCATCCGCATCACCCGCGCGGTCAAGGTCGAGGGCAAGCCCACCGAGGAAGTGGAGGAGGTCATCGATGTCCCCATGGGAGGCGTGGAGGCCGAGTTTGCGAGCTTCTTTGACGCGGTGGCGGGGAAGGAGACGCTGGATCTAGGCCATCCTCTGGCCGCGCTGCAGGACGTGGCGTTCATTCAGGCGGGATTGAACAGTGGGGGAGAACCCGTCGATTTGGTGAAGCTGGTGTCGGGGAAATAAATGTATGTTTTGTAATTTTGATGTCCATTTTCTTTGCCAATTCAGGACTGGCGCATCTCAGGCCTTCACGAGATGCAAACTCGCTGACGCAGTTCGGGTTGCCTACGTCCGGGCAACTTGAATGTTCGGCCGTCTGGAGCCAATTTTTTAAAAGAAACAAGTGCAAATATGCCTGCGCTTGTAGAAACAAATGCCGCGGTGAGAGGTGAACGTTCTTGATTAACGGAAAGTACTGTACATACCTGTAGGGGAGCAACGGTCACGGTCACGGTAGGTGGGTTGCGTTGCCTTTTTTTCCGTCGGGTCACTGTCACGATGGGTGCCGTTGCTTCAAAAAAAGCGTGAGATACCCCCCAAAAATCCCAAAAAAAATCTCTTGACTTGTAAACTGCTCTAAATACCTGGGAACCCTCTGATACAGGGTGTTCAGCAGAAAATATCTGCTCGTATCCCTACAGAAGGCTGATAATAGCAAAATAAATTGAAATAAATATTGATGTCGTTGCCTCCTTAAGCAACGGTCACGATCACGCCGCTGGCGGTTGCCGTAAAAAAAGGCAACGAAGTTGTCACGGTCCTCGGGGCGTTGCTCCCCTACAGGTATGTACAGTAGTGTTGGCGGATTCATTGCAATTTGCACTATAACATCAAGCGAACCCAAAGCACGTTGTGTCAAATTCTCTCTCTCTTTACAAGATTGTGTGTGTCTGAAGCCTTTAAGCTCCGATTCTCCGCTTCGGAGCTTGCCAGTTGAACGTGGAGAGACGGTGCCACGCCATAACCTCCGAGGCGAAATGCCGGGGGCGCGCTCTTGTACCGGTTAACTTCGGATTAACTTCGCGCTTTCCTATCTTGACGTCAACTGTTCAACCCGATACCTTTCAAACTAATCTCTACCGTCTCAGTACTGTTTTACTATACTTGTACCCAGCTGAGTGTTCCGATTTCCAGATTTGCTACGGCCCGGAATTTCCGACGCCTGATCGTCGATCTGCACTGCCACTGACGCGCCAATCGCGCCTCAACTAAAAAGGTTCTGATCCATTGATGATCAACAATCATCCCCGGGGCGCGCCGCGCGATGAAGAGGAAATGCAGACTGAGAATTCCAGAGGATTCCTGAGGAACATCCATTATGGATGTCGTCATGCTTTCCTTGCCGATCCCATAGTACTTACAGAAAAAATCCTCAGATCTTTTCTAAACCATGCAGATCTCCGCACGACCGATTTTCAACCAGGTTCGACTCAGACATGCACTCGTGTTCGAGCTTAGTCCGTCTGACAATTGGTATCCTCAGTAGCGGAAAGAAAAATAGAAAATTGAGTATTCGTCAATCCCCGCATGTCGTAGGTGGCATATTGACTCGACATTCAGCGCTTTCGTTGTCCACTTAGCTCAGTGGTTAGAGCTGCCCGACGCACGGTTCACAGGTACGGGAGACCCTGGATTCGATTCCCCGGAGTGGAAACCTGAGGCCGTGCCCGGGGCTGTGCCCAGCGGGCGTGAAGGGCCCGCATTTAGGCAATGCTGAGTTCCACACAACGCCTGAGGGCCGTTTCTTTTTCGCTTTTTCCACAGTGTTGAGACTGGAATCCTTTTCCTGCGGACTTCCGGCTTTTTTTTCTGACCATGTCACCCACTGGAATGATATCCGGAAATACGGATCGAGTACCTGTGGTTTCGTCTTGCTCTGTTGGTTAAAATAGAAGGTGAGAAACGAAGCCATCCTTCTCTGAAATAAGGATACGATATAGGGGAAAGGACAGGCACTCGAAATTCCCTTCTCATAAGAGCCCTAGCGATTAATAATTACTTGGGAATGACTTTTGGCTTCAGTAGGACCCAACCGAGCTGGTTGAAGGTTTCACTATGGACATCATTTAGTAAAAGGACGCCCTGAAATGGTTGGAAGTGGTAGTTTTATGTTGCAAAATAAATAACGGCAATACTATTCGGAACCGCTGATATTGGTGAGGAGGTATGAGAAAACATGGTGCAACTACACAATCAAGTCGTTGAAGGCATCCTGGAACTGAAAAATGAACGATTCGACAAAACCGTTATCAATACTGTCGTCCCCCCACGTGAAAGCGATATTTACGGCTCCAGAGGGATCACAAATAACGTTCAGCTTGAATGCCGAGCCAGCCACCACGTCGCACTGCGCGAATACCGTACTGACGATATTCCAGGTGCCTTCGACAGCGGGTGCATCAAAACGCCCAAGGTTGGAAATGACGAATCCACTCTCCCGCTTCTTGCCGAGTTTGTCCTTCAGATACGGGACATAATTCCCGAACAGCAGTCGGAGCAGGCCGAGGGTACCCCGGGCGTCGCGCTTCTGCTTTTGCAACTCCACTGCGTGGTGTGCGGCGGCCGCCCATGTGAAATTGGGATTCATTGGTGGATAAGCGTACTGCGCGGAGGTAAAGTCGCAGATCGCCTCCTTGGTCATCCCTGATACCTCGCGAAGGGAGATGGCGACGACAGAGGAGATGGTTTTATAGTTCGCGGGATCACGCGCAATCATGCGCGATACGATGGCGACGGTGAGGACGTAAAGGGCGGAGGTTACGGTGGCGCGATGCGTGCGGCATTCAGCGGAGAAGGTAGCGACGTTCGGGGGAGGGATGGTCATGATGCGCACGTTAGTCTTGAGGTTTGTGGTGCTGGGGACAGGTTTTCCTGACCATGCAGTGCAAGCCCGGGTCCAGGAGGTTGGGGCGAATAGTTCGTATATTGTGACCAAAACCATGGACAGGGAGGGCCGTAGTCGGGTGCAGGCTTCGACGGGAGGCGAGAGAACGATGGTGTCGGAAATTTGGACAAGGGATGAGCTATCACGGACGGTGACATTCTGGAGGGCCTTGAGGAGCGAGGCGTGAAAAGCAGGACCGCTTAAACCGTCGCCAATGACATGGTAAATCGCAAGTATGACAGTGTTATCAGTCAACACCTGAATGCGCCAGATGGGAAGATCCGCATCGGTGTCAAACCCCCGGGCGAGCTGGCTCTCCAAGGAAGTTTGAAGATTGTCGGTAGTAGAAAATTCGACGACCTGAGACAAGTCGATGGTCTCAAGTCTGACGAAGACGGCGTTCGAGGTAGACTCGTTTTGAAGCTTTACAGAAAGCGCAGGGTGTGATTTTATGACCTCGCGGAGGGCTGCGAAGAGAATATCCGGGGTGAGCTTCGCCCCGTCCTCAGTGATATATTTTGCGGAAGTAGCGACACAACTTTCGAGGCCTAGAAAATGCTGGGTTGCGTGCAAACGCTCCAGAAGGCCTGTAATGGTGTATTCGCAGATAGTATAAACGAAAATTGGAAAGGACCCACCGATAGGTCTGAGATGCGACTTGGTAGGCATGTGTCGCTCGAGAGATCATTCAGTTCCAATTGAGCTCTATTATGTAAAGGATGCTGACAACAGCATCTACTCGAAGTGACAACCGAGCAGCCGTACACCCGAGCAGCCGCAAGTCAGCTCTATCACGTTGCTACCGGTGTCGGTGGGAAAGCAGAGTACTAGTAGCAGAAGAAAACCCAGTCAGGTGTTGATCCAACGTAGATCCCGCCACCCAGCAGAGGACAATTTACAAATACAACAGCCCCAGACAACTATGGCGGTCCAAATGCACTTTTAATAATCCGCTACTTATTTTGGTTTTTTTGTCGTTTCCGCTACTTTTATTGTGAATTTGATCAATCCCGCTACTTATTCAAGCTTGAGAAGATGAAAGAAAGTAGCGGGAAAAGTGAGAAATTCCCGCTACTTTTATTTGAGCACATCAAAATCCCGCTACTTATATTCGTTTTGACAGATTTTGATCCCGCTACTTTTTGGGATTCGCTCATCCCGCTACTTATACTTTCGAGTCAATTTTTTTGTTTTTTCAGCTGGATTCAGCACTACAGTAAGGACTACAGTGTAATGGTATTATATAACTAGCTAGAGGGTACAGGCAGTGGCACAGGCATAGAACAGCCATGGTGCGGTCGTGCCCATCAAGAACCTCCTCTCCGCGATGGGCTACCTCATGCCCGAGGCCGCCGTTCTGGGGGGTACGCCCTCACCATACGGGTCCTATGCCGCACTCCCTGCACAGCACAGCAGCCCGTACGTGCCAGGGTATGTGTAGCTGTATCCTGCCGCGCTGGAGCAGGGCTCGCCGTCCCACTCGCCGTACCAGCGGCCGCCGAGCCGCCCGCAGACGCCCACATCGTTGTGGGCGGAACACAGCCGATGCAGGTGCAGCGGGCACCGGACAGCTGCTTTGATGTGCCTCCCTCTCCTCCTCCCTTCCCATTACCGTCTCTTTCTCCCATTCCCCGGTTCCCCTTTCACTCGTCCTTTACCATACTCTAGCTAGTTATATAATACCATTACACCGTAATCCTTACTATAGCACTGAAAAAAAAATTGACTTGAAAATATAAGTAGCGGGATGAGCGAATCCCAAAAAGTAGCGGGATCAAAATCTGTCAAAACGAATATAAGTAGCGGGATTTTGATGTGCTCAAATAAAAGTAGCGGGAATTTCTCACTTTTCTCTCTACTTTCTTTCATCTTCTCAAACTTGAATAAGTAGCGGGATTGATCAAATTCACGATAAAAGTAGCGGAAACGACAAAAAAAATCAAAATAAGTAGCGGATTATTAAAAGTGCATTTGGACCGCCATAGACAACTTGAAGTATGTCGAGTTTGCATGAATCAAGGTTAAATTCCATGTAATCGTGAATTTCAGCATTTTACACCGCGAGGAGTTCAAGTGACTGTCAAAGTAAGTCTCGGGGAAATCGGCCCGAGACACTACGGATTGCACCCATGGATTAGGGAAGGTTAGAACCTAGCGGTTCTAATTCTTGACCAGTGAACTGAGGATCAAAAACACACAGCACACGTACCACTTGATGGCGGAAAAATTGGTGTGACAGGCGGAAAAAAAAATGGATACTCACCACGGTGGAAAAAATGGGTACTCACGGTGGTCCGATCATTTACACCGTTCAATTCCTGGGAAATACCGCTGACGACCTCATCGGGCAAGCAAATCATTGAAGAACAATGTATTTATACAACTGATTTAGCATACATTACATCGATTCCTAAAACTGGACTGAAAAAAAAAAAAAGACATTACAGCCGTTGGCAGTACAGAAGGCGCGGTCGAAAAATTTCCAGTTTGGAACATTTTCAAAGAATTCCCTGTAACTCGGTCAGGGGCTAATTCATATGGAATTAGTGATAGAAAGGATCTTGTGAAAATATGCCATATTGGATGATCTGGCATTTTGAGGTATTTTGGCGATGAATCTGATCTGGCATGCCCAATTCAGGTCCTACTGGTCTGAATTTTAGCTACAGAAGACTTTTTAACATTCTCAAACATGTGATAGAGTCAATACTACATAACATATGTGTTTGATTCAATCCCCATTCTATTTCAGATCCCGCTAGGTTGTCTGTTATCCCGACCTGACTGCAAGCATCACAGACTGAATTACTCACAGTTTTGACTCTATCACATATTTCTAAATCTACATAGGCCATCTGTTGCAAAACACCACATTGTTTGAACATGCCTGGACCTCACTAGACTGCATTTACCTCAAAAGTGGCCCAAAGTACTACATCATCCAATATGAAATATTTCCGCAGGTTTCTCTCTATCACTAATTCTGTATAAATTAGCCCGAATTATCTAGCATGGTCTCATCCAAATCCATGAAGAACTGACCGAGTTACGGGGAATCTTTTGAAAATGTCCCAAACTGGAAATTTTTCGACCGCGCCTTCGGTACTGCCAACGGCTGTAACCATGATACTCGACAAAATCACCTGTCTCCCCATCGTGAGATATTCCAGAGCGGGACAACGACCTTGGTATAGAATTCTACCGCCAAGCTGGAATCACTCCCACCATCCCTGGTCAGACACCACTTAACCACATCCTTGTAAGGTGTCCCCATCTTGAACGCGAGGTCCTTCTTCATCTGTTCTATCATCCTCCACCGTAAGGCCCTGGTATCGCGCATGTGGCCCGCCTGGAGAGCACCCGGGAAGCTATTGAGCGATAGCCACCACCCAATCTCAGCCAGCACCAAGCCAAACAAATATATGTCAAATACCATGCTGTACGGGGTCTTGCGTATGGGGTTTAGATACCCCGGGTGGTGGTAGATTGTAGTTTCGGGGGTTTGGCTCTCGCGGAGGAAAATGATCACGATCATGGGGTGTGAACGTGGGGCCGTGAAAGCTCGGTGAATTCACCGGCCGCGAGAACTGCGTAAAACCTACAACAATCAGATGTGCAATGTCGTACCTGCTGGAGGCCGGAAACACGATGTTGTCGCTCTGCACGCCTTTGTGCAGTCATTTGCTCCCGTAAAAGCGCGAAAACGAGCAGGTGAGTGCACATGCGAGCGTCAAGCGTGCTTCGAGTGACGGGCGAAACTGCACGGAAAG